CCATCCATGACGAGGCACTTAATTGAGACTTACCGGGATCAGGACGGAACAGTTTCCAATGAACGATCAATTCAAACATCTGTTGCCGTCTTGTTTGCAGGTCTGTTCAGAACAAATCTTTTTGTTTACCATTATAACTGCGTTTTACAGGTGGTGTTGCGACGGCAAGTGATTTATTACTGCGTTTTCAACAAGCTAACTTCGTACCATAGACTGCGATTACAGTTCAGGTCTTCCTACTGGCAATGATGCGATACCCTGAAGTCCAGAAGAAAGCACAAGCGTACATTGATGAGGCAGTTGGAAATGATCGACTCCTCACTCTGAATGACCGCGAAGCCATTCCCTATATAGAGGCTATTGTGAAGGAAACATCAAGGTAAGCGATTGACATTGAAATATTTCACAAATACTAACAGAGGACCAGATGGAGGCCGGTAATACCCATGGGTAAGTCTCTTGTGTCCGATGTGGACATGGCTTCCTCTGATTCTTTGAGTCTGGGCTAGCCATGGTGCATAAGAACATGCAAGATGACGTCTATAATGGGATGTTCATCCCTAAGGGCTCAACCATCATTCCGAACTCATGGTAAGTCACAATATTATACTTAAGCCAATCTGTTCATGTCATTGATAGGCTGTGCTTGCACGACGAAAACGACTTTCCTGAACCTGACGAGTTCAGACCTGAGAGATTTACCGATGGACATAAGTTGTTCAAAGACATACCTGATCCGAGAAATTTTGCATTTGGCTATGGAAGAAGGTAATGTTGCGAGGGACCAAGTCAGTCAAGCCAGCACTCACCATTTGGCAGGACATGCCCCGGTCGGCACTTCGCCGAGAGCAACTTGTGGATAAATATTGCCACTTTGTTGTCTGTATATGATATTAGATATCCCGTCGACGTGAATGGTCTAGAACAGAAACAGGACCCCAAATTCATTTGGAAGCTAGGTATACTGTGGGTGGTCCCTCGCGATTTGCGTCGAAACGAAGTCTTGACTGTCATTGTAGGAAACCAGAGGAATTTGAATGCCATTTTGAGCCAAGATCGAAAGAGCGGTTGGAAAAGCTCAGGATCGCAGTGGAGGAAGGCACGGACTAGACGTTCAGAGAGGAACATGCCCCGAGTATTTCGAAACATTATGTACACAAATTCCTCTACATAAATTTCAATTCACGTCTCGCACTATGCCCTGTCATGCTATATCTTCGAGAAATTTCACACCTGGATTGACTATGAATAAGCATTCCAAGCCCTCGATTGGTTTTAAGACCGCTTCTTTGGGATTAGTGCCGCGCTCGAGCATATTACTCGATGACAGGCTTTCTACAGTTTACGATGTCACATTGAATGGCGGATAACTTGGCTCGAAGTGGGTGTACTGAATTTATCTGCAGTCCCGCATTTTGAATTATACTGTCCCATTCAAGCTGGAAGACGGTCATTAAGGCAAAGAGAGTATGTCATCAGTTCGAACATACCAAAGAACGTTCACGGGCGTTGTACACTCCAAGGAGATGGACCCCAAGACCAAGGTTCATCTTCGCGCAAACATCGAAATTCAAGGGCACGTAGGGTGGCGGCAAAGTTGTTGTATACTTATCGGCACCAGTTAGCACACTGAGGCTTTCGTCGTATTGATTTTGTGCGACATAGGATATGGTGCAAGGTTGAGCAACATACCCAATGATTTCAGGGTTGACTGCATGGCGCGTGACAGCCACCGTTGCAGGTATTGATAAGGAATCGTCCGTCCACACGAACCGGTTTTTGGTTTCTGTTCACGGGATCAAATGTCAAGGATCAGGAAGCACAGTTGCGGATAGCGTACCGATACGCTTTGGTTTGTGCTAGTAAAGTGAAGAAGCTGTATATTATGCCAGAATCCTTGTCGACTGCGTTGAACGTGGATATGCTTGAACGAAAGTAGACAGTGTCGGAAAGCAGTGTGTAATCTCAATGTCGGTGAGGCCTGCTTAGAGTTTAGATATACAAAAAGATATTTGGTGAAGACGTTTCGATTTCATCGCATCATAGTTCGAAAACAGTTTGAGGGGACCGTTCCCTACGGGACATTGTAAATTCAATGACGGTTCGGCCTCAACCGGTAACTATCCAAAACACCGCAGTTCCAACAATTGAACTTGAAATTCTTTATTGAGTTTGGGACCATATCGCGAGATTGCCGCCAGGATAGTCAAGCAAAGGTTTGAGTGTACTTTGTCCTTCGTCGGAACTTGGATTGAAGTCGACGTCATACAAAAAAAAGTTAAAATCGTCTCGCATTGTTGGTTCGGTACTCGTTACATAAGTCACCGCAAGGGTTCATCGATGCACCGCTGTTCTTGCAAAAATTTCCGCCGCGGCCCTTACTGACGTTGTACACTAACAGCGAAGATTGAATACATCCATTCGTAAACATGAAATTAGAATAAACGACAGTGCGACCCCCGGGAGAATAATAGCTACTGAAAGCCGAATGAGCATTGAGTCCTAAGGACGAGGGTGAGTATAACGAAACCAAACTAAAAAAAAACACCGACTCATAGCCATGTTGATAGGTGTACATGTACCAAAGAGCTAATTCCATGTTGGACTGCTGCGTCAATGCAGGAGAGATGGGCGGAGCATACGTTTGTGTTCAACCAAGAGTCATCGTCTGCGTTCGGTCCAGAGTTGGTGTCGACGTCAAAGAATCGACTTGAATGTTGTGTGCTACTAGCAAGCCGTGGGTCGCAGCAGCTGGACGGGAGCCTTCGTAATCTCGATGCGGGGTCGACACCACGAGAAAAATCTCGCGGACGTGAAAGCAAGTGGTTGCGCAGACGGTCTTTTTCGTCCAGTCGTAGAGTCGGTCACTGCCAGATTCGTGTCGGAAGGGAAGGCCGTAGCGCACAAGTCCCTAAGCAGGAGTCATGGAAGGTCGTACAAGGTGCGTGTTAAGAAGACACCTCCGTAAAAGCTCTGCTCAACAAGGAAGACTACACAGTAAGGTGCATCAATGGGGTAGTGGTAACCTGGGTCGTTGCCATAACTTTGATGATATGGCGTATCGACCCGCCGGGGGTTCGATTCCCTCTTGATGCATCGCAAAGTCCATCCTCTCATTTTTATTCTGGATTCTAATATCGAACGATAATTATTTTTCACTGACCAGTGACCAGGGACCAGGGACCGGAGGTCAGAAGTTTTGAATTCAAGTTGGACGTTGAACATTAACCATGAACTATAAAATATATAACGACGAGGTATATCACAACAGGGCGATGTGTAGGAGTCACGGTAAGGTATGATTTCTCCTCGCCGCTCACCTACCCCGCGGTTCCCCTAGAGGAGAAAGGTGTGCCCAAGAGAAAAGAGACTGCGAGCGGGGCTGGACATGAGGGTGGTTTCGGACTACAAGCTTCAAGTCGCGGTTTGGGTTCAAGGTAAGCCTTGTCTCGTAGTACGCCGGCTGCAAGGCTTGGTGGGTTAGAGACATAACATGATGTAGACGCCAGCGCCGAGTGGGTTCTGGGCTACGCCTGGTGGTGTAGCAATCTCCTCGAGGCCAAGGAGAGGGTTCCATCTGGTCGTACCTCGTTGCTGCCTTGTCTTGGATCCCTCGACGTACGGTCCTGGATTTGGCCAGGTGTTGTCGCGGTTGGATGGGGCAGTAGGGTCCAAGGTCCAGGGATCGACGACACGAGAAAGGGTCCGCGGGAGCAGATAGCGAAAGCGAAAGCAGGAGGGAAATTGACAGCGTACCGTCGTTGGCGTCGTTCCTCGTTGACATCGAGGTGGTGTCCGGGTCCTCAGGATAAGCAATCTCGGTCTTGGGCGGGACTTGGTCTCTGCTAGATTGGTCCCATGGAAGCAAAAGGAACGTGGACGAGCTGAGGGAACTGGCTGGATAAGGATGGGGCTGCGATAGCAAGGGCAGTAGAGCGTGGACGTACCTTGGACCGTCTTTCTTCCTGCATGGGCAAATGCTCTCTCCAGGCTTGACCACGAGACCAGAATTGGAACGTCAATGCAAGAACAAGGCTGAGGTTGAGGAGAAAGGTGTGGTCAGAAAGGAAGAGACAACGACCATCTGTGTCCCGCACCGGCGACGGTTCAAGTCCCCGTTGTTGCACCATAATCCGATGCCGTCCTTTATACTTTTGCTTGAAGCTTGAAGTATTGTTGACTTCAAGTCGAGCTCAAATCACACGAGAGAATTGTGGTACAAGTGTTCATATTCATCATAGGTAGTAATAAGTAAATGCGTGTGTGGTGTACAACATATGCGACGTGGAATGGAAAGCAAGACAACAAGAGAGCAAGAATCGACAACATAGACGCATATAATCACTGGAAACCCGGGATGAGCTCGCCCTTTCTGAGATGGAGACGGCCGTCCGTCCACCCGGCAGCTGTCAGATACACGCCCCACGCCGCATGGAGGACCTCCCACAGCCCATCATCATCCACACCCAACGCAACAATGTTCTTCCACAGCCCATGCACATTCGACAGCCCGCCCAATAGCTTATGCTGCGTGTAGTCCTTCGCGAGGTTCTCCGCCAGCGCCAGGAGCTGCGCGTGGATCTCCTCAGCGATCTTCGGGGAATCCGAGAGGTGGGCAGCGGTGGGGAAGGGGTTGGCGGGGAGGGAGCCCAGCGGGAAGAGCGACGCAAGAAGCAGGTCCTGGCGGTGGGTGTACATGTACTGGCTCAGCAGCGCGTAGCTCTGCGGGTCCGGCAGGCACAGCGGGTGCACGGGGATCTCCGCCCCCGCGGGCGACGCCTGGATGCCCTTGGGGAGCCCCGCGCAGTGCGTAGCGAGGATCTCGTGGTGCGCGGGGTGCAGCGTGACTTTGGTCGAGTTCTGCGCGAAGACGCCGAGGAAGCAGGTGGGGCCCTCCGCGGGGGCGTGCGCCGGGAGCGACACGGGGAACTTGGCGGGGATGGAGGTGTCTTTTGGGGGAGCAGAGGGCGCGAGGAGGGAGAGCGTGTAGAACATGCGCACGCCATGGTCGCGCACGACGTTGTCCCGCGCGAAGAGCGTCGCGGCATCGGGCAGGGGGATGCTGCGCTTCTCGAGCTTGGGGACGAGCTGGACGGTGATGAGGGCTTCTTTGGAGGCGCGGTAGGTCTTCACGTTTAGGTTGATGTGCCCGGGTTTGGCCACGGCGCGTTTCCGCTTGTGGGCTGGCGATGATAGGGCCTTGGCGGCGGCGGCGTGCTTGGCGGTGGAGGAGGCGCGGCGCACGGGGATGTTCTCTGCGTTGGAGGCGTTGCGTTTGGCGATCATTGGAGGGCTGGCGGGGGTTTCTGGGGCTCCCGTCGTCCCCCAGGGGGATTTATATACTCCTCCGGACACACCAATCGCGTACTGAACCAATTCACTAATTGCCTTTCGTGGATTGTTTGTACTTGTGCGTCCTCCCATCACTTTACATACGAGGTAATTTGGGAGTACCAATTGCGAGCGAGGCCCGGTGTCTATTGTTGTGGGTCAATTCCGACGTTTCGCTTCCACTGTTCTCTCAAGTCTCGATATGTACTTCCACTTGTCTTCATCCCGTGGGACAATGATTTGCGGTTTTTGCTTCCGCATGAGGATGTCATTGTTGGTCGATCCTTGCGTCGACAGGGCCCAGCTCGTGGTGCTTCATCCCACTTGATAAGTTAGGGCCCAGGGTTTGTTTATTCTGGCAGTAGCGAGGATATTCCAGAAAAGAGGAGGTACGTGAACCCTTACCTCTCAGAGTCACAGCATCTTTCGACCAATTTCGACAGGAGGCTGAGCTCGTCCATCGCCACACACCAAGTTCAAAAATGAGGCTCTCTTCGACTGTTTGCCTTCACATCTCGCCAAGAGGGCTCCAACATCGACGACGGCATGAACTTCTAGCAGTAGCGAGGATGTCCCAGAAGGATGAGGTGCGTGAACCCCACCTCTCAGACTTGCAGCATTTTTCGACCAATTTTCGACAGGCACTGCCGACGCTGACTCCTCATCCACCACCACACGTCAAGTCCCAAAACGAGGCGCCCTTCGACTCTTTGCCTCTTTGCCTCTTTGCCTCCCTACGTCTCTCTGAGAAGGCTCAACTCTATCAGGAACTACGACACGAACTCGCGTACACTCTCCGCCGAGCCTCCGTCGCGACGAACGTAGCCCCGTCCCTGATCGTCGCACACAACCACAACCACGAGCATCGTTCTCACTAGGTTATGTCTGCCGCCAACCCAGCTGGAAGACGCCATTTACCACAGCTTCCTGTCCTCGAGCCTGTCTGCCTCACCGCCCCACCTCGCCGTACGGGAAGTCCCGGGTGGTCCTTACCTCATCGGGCCCACCGTATGCGCTTTGCCTACGAACGTGCCACGCCATTAACGGACGTCTACTCCGCGAGGCTATTGCTCTCAGCATAGGACGCAGAGGGCGCCAGGACTTTTTTTTCAATTTCCACTCCGAGTCAGTACCCATTCGGCTTTCCATGGCTAATCATCCGTCGCACTGTCGTTTATTCTGGTTTTTGCCTCTACGAAAAGAGCTGGTGTGCTCCAATTGCGATCTTCGTTGTTAGCGTTCAAGGGCGGAAAAAATTCGCAAGAACAGCGCAGTGGTACGTAGATGAGGAGTTGACCCCTGACGGCGACTTACCGAGTACCGGACCAACAATGCATGATGGTTTTCTTTGTATGACGTCGATTTCAATCCAGGTTCTGACGGGGAACAGCTACAACATAGACAAAGTACACTTATCTTACGCACTGCCCCGCGAAAATCATATCAATTTCGTAATCTTCACAAACATGCCTGTTCCGTCTCCAAATTTGGAGCTCTGAGTGGGGGGTTTCGCTCTTACTCGAGTGGAGAGTCTCGTAAAAAAATATGTATTACGGAAATTTGGTATAATTCAAACACGTTCAGATTGAGTAACGCCAAGGCCCAAGGCCCCATCATTGTTCATTGTTCGTACTAACAACCCATGAAAAACGAAAACGAAAAAACCACAAGTCAAACGCCCTTATGCATCAAGGGGGAATTGAACCCCCGGCGGGTCGAAAACATACTACTGCGTCGTGCGAACGTTTACGTTTCTGACCACCTTTTACACGTGTACCCCTCTTCAACCTCAGCCTACGTTCCGATTCTGGTCCTGTGGTCAACCTTGGAGAGAAGGTTTACCCGTCGAGGAAGAAAGACGGTGCACGGTACAGGTACGTCTACGATCTATATCCCTGCTACCGCACCCCCGAACTTCCTTCAACTCCTCCACCGTGACGCACCTTTTTACTTCCATGGGACATGGGACCAACCTAGCACAGACCAAGTCCCGCCCAATACCGACTCGATTACTTATCCTGAGGACCCAATGTCAGCGAGGAACGACGCCAACGACGATGCGCTGTCAATTTCCCTCCCGCTTTCGCTATCTGCTTCCGCGGACCCTTTCTCGTGGCGTCGATCCCTGGACCTTGCCCCATCCAACCGCAACAACACCTGGCCAACTTCGGGACTGTACGTCGAAGACAAGGCAGCAGCGACTCGGAGGTACGAGCCGATGGAACCCTGCCCTAAGTTGGCCTCGAGGGGATCACTAGGCGCAGCCCAGAACCCACTCGGCGCTGGATTCTACATCATGTTATGTCTCTAACCTTGCGACCGGCGTACTACGAGACAAGGCTTACCCTTGTACCCAAACCGCGACTTGGAGCTTGTAGTCCGAAACCACCTGGGCCCTCGTGTCCAGCCCCGCTCGCAGTCTTTTTTCTTTTGGGCACACCTTTCTCCTCTAGGGGAACTATGGGGTAGGTGAGCGGCGAAGAGAAATCATACCGGGGTACAAGACAGGGTTTACCTTGTACCCAAACCGCGCCTTAGCTTCGAGTCCGAGCCCCCCTCATGTACAGCCCCGCTCGCAGTCTCTTTTCTCTTTCTCCTCTAGGGGAACTATGGGGTGGGTGAGCGGCGAAGAGAAACCATACCCTCTACCTGTCCACATCGCCCTGTTGTGATATACCTCGTCGTTATATATTTTATAGTTCATGCTTAATGTTCAATGTCCAACTTGAACTCAAAACATCTCGTCTCTGGTCCCTGGTAACTGGTCAGTGAAAAATAATTACCGTTCGATATTAGAATCCAGAATAAAATTTTTTCTAAAAAAGAATAATATACGATGAATGGATATCGGTTATGCATCAAGAGGGAGGAATCGAACCCCCGGCGGGTCGACAAACTCATCTTTCAGTCTGATGGCAACGACCCAGGTTACCACTACCCCATTGATGCGCCCTACTGCCCAATCTTCCTTGTTGAGCAGAGCTTTTACGGGGGTGTCTTCTCAATGCGCACCCTTCTCTTCCAAGTCTTGCGCAACCCTGCTTAGGGACTTGTGCGCTACGACCTTCCCTTCCGACACGAATCCGGCGGTGACCGACTCCAGGACTGGACTACGCAACCACTTGCTTTCCCGTCCGCGGGACTTTTCTCGTGGTGTCGAGATTACATAGGCTCCCATCCAACAGCTGCTGCCCACGGCTTGCTAGTAGCACACAACATTCAAGTACGAATCTTTAACGTCGACACCAATTCCAGACCGAACGCAGACGATGACTCTTGGCTGAACTTGAACACAAGCACATCTCTCCTGCAGTACAACATGGAATTAGCTGTTTGGTACGTGTACACCTATCAACATGACTATGAGTCGGTGTTTTTTTAGTTTGATTTCGTTATACTTACTTACCTTCGTCCTTAGGGCCGGAACAAGGCACGATAAATCGATGGGCGTCCCGAGTGATACGCTCGTTCTCGCTCATCCACGAGTCCGCCGAGTCAAGTATCGCAACCTTAACGCTTCTTTAGCACACAATGAGAGTTCTAGTTTTGTTCAATGTCCACCTGTTGCTACCTCTCAGATTTACATTACAACATCTTTCAACCAATCCAATTTTTGACAGACACTGCCGACGGTCTCTTTCTCATATGATCCACCGCCACACAGCGATTCCAAAAACGACTCGGAGGCCCCCTTGACTCTTTACCTCCCCACTCCTCGCTGAGACTCGACTCCAACAGGCTCCTGGCTAACGAAGACGACATGAACTTGTAGCAGTAGCGAGGACGTTCCGGAAGGACGAGGTGCGTAAACCCCACCTCTCAGCTGCAGAGTTACACCTTTTTTGACCAATTTTCGACAGGTACTGCTGACGCTGAGCTCATCCACCGCAACACGCCAAGTCCAAAATTAGAAACGGCGCTCTTCGACTCTTTGCCTCCCCACCTCTCGCTGAGAAGGCTCAACTTTACCAGCAACGACGACATGAGCTTATGTACACTCTCTGCCGAGTCTTTGCCTGCGATCGTGCCACGCCGTTAACGAACGTCTACTCTGGCGATGACCCCTGCTCTCCCCATATCCAGCGCTCCCAAAATGTCTCCGCGGGGAGTCACTTCTCGAGGGATGCCAGAACTTTTTAAAATTTCTACTCAATGCTTTCAATAGCTATTATCCTCGCTGGGGGTTGCACTGTCGTTTATTCTAATTTCGTGTTTACGAATGGAACTATGCAATCTTCATCAACATCAGTAAGGGCCGCGGCGGAAAAAAATTCGCAAGAACAGCGGTGACTTACCGAGCACCGGACCAACAATGCATGATGGTTTTCTTTGTATGACCTTGACTTCAATCCAAGCTCCGACGGAGGACAAAGTCCACTTATCTTACGCACCGCCCCGCGAAAGAAATATCAATCTCGTAATCTTCACAACATGCTTCAAGTTATTCCGTCTCCAGATCTGGAGCACATTGGCACCGTGGGTTTGCTCTTACGAGTCTATGTATGTAGCACGAAAATTAGTACGATTCAAAGCCAAGGCGCCAACAACAACTTATTGTTCAATGTTCAAACTTCAATGAAAAAAATTACGAAGAGAATGCTGAGTGCTCTTAGCTCTACTACAACCCATGAAAAACGAAAAACAGAGTAGTGGTATTCTGAAATGCATCAAGGGGAAATTGAACCCCCGGCGGGTCGATACATATGCATGTATGGGATATGGCAACGACCCAGATCACCACTACCCCATTGATGCCTGGCTGCGTTAATTTTCCTTAGGTAACCTAAGTTCTTCACACACATTGCCCTTGGGTCCTGGGAGCGTTCAAGTTCCCATTACCCTCGTTTTGCTTCTGGTCGCAGCACTCTGAGTCTTCGCACCCAGAACTGAAATGAAGTTCCTGCAGGATAGAGGACAGAGGGATACTATTTCCTAATATCTGCAGCATAATAAAAAGGTGTGTGTATCTCCCCCTCCCTCGGAATCGATCTCCCAGTGCGTACACTGGGACTCGGTTGGTCTCCCCGCCGCCCGGCTTCGACTCGGATTCCGGAGAAGCCTGGATGTTCCATCTCAAGTCTGCCGACGTCGCTATTCATCATCACTACTCGGATTGTCTACTCTGCAAAAATCAGCTGTTCACTCCCGAGCTTGAAGGACGCTCCCGGCGTGTTATTCAGCATTTAGAGGATAGAAGAATAAGAAAGCTTGATCCGCCCACTGCATACGCTTTGCTCGCGATCGTGCGACGGACGTCTACTCCGTGGGGCCAGCGTTGACCGCTGCACTCAGCACAGGAGTCAGCACTCGGACGCGGAGAGTGTCAGAACTTTTCTTATTCCTTCTCAATGCCCGTTCCCTTTCAACGGCTGTCATCCCCGCCGGGGGTCGCACCGTCGTTTATGCTAATTTTGTGTTTATGAATAGAGTGTACCTGCTTGTACGTTCCGTCTCTCCAAACTTTCTCGTCAGCGTTCAACATCAGAAGGGTGGAAAGAATTTCGCAAGAACGGCGGTGCATCGATGAGGGATTGTCGTTGAACCCTTACCGAGTACCCGACCAACGATGCGCGATGGCTTTCTTTGCATGACCTCGACCTCATCGAAGGAGCCCTGTTACAGTAGCTCGGAAACAGAGAAACTGTCAGCATGAACAGAGTACACTTACCTTATGCACTGGCCCATGAAGCAAATATCATCCTTCAATCCCGTAATCTTCAGCACGCCTTTTCCGCCTCGTCTAAATCTGGAGCTGTGTGAGTGGGTTTTGCTCTTACTCGAGTCTTGTGATGGACATTGGCTATAATCGACCAGGTTCGGATTGAGTAACGCCCAGGCCCCAGCAACAACTTCATCGTTCAATGTTCACTCTACAATCACATCGCATGGAAAAGGAAAATGTACATCAACGACATCAAGGGGAATTGAACCCCTGGCGGGTCGACGAATGCAGGACGCAGATGGTTGTTGTCTCTTCCTTTCGGATCACACCTTTTACGCGTGTCACTCCCTCCTCAACCTCAGCCTTGTTCTTGCATTGACGTTCTAATTCTGGTCTTGTGGTCAAGCCTGGAAAGAAGGTTTTCCCGTCCAGGAAGAAGACGGTGCAAGGTACGCCTACGGTCTATTTCCCTGCTACCGCAGCACCGACCTTGTCCTGCCAGCCAGTTCCTTCAGCTCGTCCACGCGCCTTTTGTTTCCATGGGACCAATCTGGGAGAGATCAAGTCTCGCCGAAGAACAAGTTCGCCTATAAGCCAGCAGCCAGGTACGAGCGTATGGAAACCTCCCCTTGGCCTCAAGGAGATTGCTACACAGGCGCTGCCCAGAAACCACTCAGCACTCAAGACTAGGCTTGCCTTGTACCCAAACCGTTCGTCCGTACTACACCCTTGGGCTACGAGGCGCCGTTTTCTCTCGCTTCATTTCTCCCGTCCGGTTCAGTGATACCCACGCGACTTCAAGTCCAAACCCCCGCTCGTAGTCTCTTTTCTTTTGGGTCCTCTCTTCCAGCGGACCATACGTTGGGTGAGCGGCGAAGAGAAACCATACCTTACTCCTGTCCACATCGCTCTGTTGTGATATTGAACGTCCAACGTTGTACCCAAAACATCTGGTCTCCGGTCCCTGGTCAGTGGACAGTGGAAATTATTATCGTTCGAACTTTGATATTAGAATCCAGAATAACAATTAAAATATACGGTTCACGAACACCTGCATGCATCAAGAGGGATCGAACCCCTGGCGGGTCGACACATTGGAAATGTATGCATATCGGGATGGCAACGACCCAGGCTACCACTACCTCATTAATGCACCGTATGGTCTGATCTTCCTTGTTGAGCAGAGGTTTTACGGGGGTGTCTTCTCACTGCGCACCCTTCTCTTCCAAGTCTTGTGCGACCCTGCTTAGGGACTTGTGCGCTACGTCCTTCCCCTCCGACAACTCGTACTGCAAAAGAGGGATGGTACAATACGTGTGCATGGTCTATCTTCCTGCTACCGCGGCCCCAACGCTATTCTGCTGGTTCCTTCCTTTCGACTATTCGATTCCTCTCGTGGCGTCAAGCCCGTGAGCTTTTCTACTTCCACGTGCCAATCTGGGTCCACGTGGGATTATATTCAGAGGATGTTCAGTTCCCACCAACAGACTTCATCCATATGGCGAATCTTGCGCCGTAAGCGAGGACTTCAGGACTGAATGGAAAAAGAGGCAGAGCGCTGTCTGTTGCCGTAACCACGTTTGCTATTCGCTTTCGAGTCCTCGGAAATTTTCTTGTGGTGTCGATCCCACGTTCCACTCCGGGAACGAGATTACTTACGTTTCCACCCACCAGCCGTGACCCGGGATTATCCCCCTTCTTGCTAGTAACACGCACCACTTAAGTCGACACGGAATCTTTCCCCAAGTCAAAACTGAGGCATGGTTCTTAGATACTTTGATTTAGAGAACTCGGACAACTTGCCATGGGGCTCACCTCCACCGCTCGGTCAGGTGTATTTCTTCTTGCGGCATAAGCGACTCAGAGGAGCGACAACAACTCCAGGCTGAACGCAAATATCTGCTCCGCTCGTCTCTCTTGTATCATGTGACGCAGCAGCAGCAGTATACCTAGCCGGAGCATGGAAATAGCTGTTCGCTATGCGTACACCTATTAACATGGCTATGGGTCGATATTTCTAGTTTGGTTTCATTATACCCTCGTCTTTGGGGACGGAAGAAGCGATAATGAATCTAGGGACGTCCCGAGTGATGCGCTCGTTCTTGCTCGTCCAATGTCCTCCCTGCGCCGAGTCAGACGTTCCATCTTTAACGCTTCTTTGGCACACAGACCGACCGCGACTCGAGTGGACATGTCGCCGCCTTCCAAAAGTTCTAGTTTTGTCTATTGATCGTACTTTACCACCGCTGTATGCGAGAAGAATGGGACACTTCGTACTACAACATCCTCGTCGTGTGACCAGTGCAATTCGTAAACGCATTCATTGCCTTCAAGACCAAGTTCTCATGGATTAAATTATAGTTTAGATCATGATGAGGGTAGCGCGCGATACCTAGGGTAACCACGGGTAAGTTACCAAAGCCTTTGAGCTGCTGGCATGAATTTGGACAAAACAAAAGTAAAAAGATTGAATCTCTTCCTAGCATTCGCATGCATCAGGAGAGAATCAAACTCCGGCTGCAGATCGATAGATAGCAAACACGGATTGCCCCCTATTGATGCACCTACTAGTCCCTGATGCCCGAGCTGTTTTGACGCATCATGGAAACCCCTTAAGCGTCCACTCACTTTGACCGCAGTACTGATCTAAATAGTGAATATTCCTCCGATTGAGCAGTATCTTTGCGAGAGCTCGGTCAACTGGTACCACCATCATGGTATGATTGATTCCTCTGTTATCTTTGCCACAGATTAAAAATGTCGCCTTCGGAAAGGGAACCGGTCCTCGCGCTCCAACAACTCCCGGTCGCAAAATTCCGCCCCGGCTGTGCACCGTGTAGTATTTCGCTGTTTACCACTGTCCATCTACTCATCTGCTAGTTATTTGGTTCCTCTCACCCACGTACGTTTTGCTTCCACGGAACCCGCTCAAGAACTCAAGCGCTTATCAGAGGACCCGGAGGAACGACAGGAGCGGGAGAGTGACAGTGCCCTCAGGTCTACGGGTCTGCTTCCGCGGAACCTTTCTTATGGCGGCGATGGGCCCACGTTTAATGGAAGCAGAACAAGTCCCGCTCAAGAACGGGATTGCTACAGTGAGCTCAGGATGTTCAATTCTAGAAACGTATCTACGAGCGACTCTTGGGCGGGGCTGTGATGTCTGGATGTAATGCTGAGCTTTAGTATCCAGACAGATCTTGCTACTGTCATTCCGAGTTTATTTCTAGCACAACAGTCAAGATATCGTTACCCAAATTAAAACCGAGGAACGGTTCCTAGAGATGCACGGCCGAACATAGATGAGAGCTGTGGGCGTGATCCTGCTGTTTAGTTTTCAATCTGCGCCGTGATCGTACTAAAAGAATATACCACCTACGAATCATAATTTCCGACTCTGGACTCTCTGGAGTCTAAGTGTCTCGAGAGTGCTTCTGAATATGATTTGACAAAAAGGGAGAGGTTCACAATGCAACTATGCCTCACAAAACCCCGGCGGGTCGAAAGTAAACGTATTTACATAACAGACTGCGCGATTGCCTACCTCGGTCGTCACGGTCTGAGCTCCTGGCTTCTCATACTCGTAGATCGTGTTGCATCACTCGTTGATTGTATCACGCCTCTTGTTGATTGTATCACACCTCTCGTACATCGTATCACTCGTTAGGTTTACGAAAACGCGACGCAGCAGTCCCTGATATGAGCATACCATCGACTGCCATCCACGAAAATTCAGTATGACCTGTGTGGCTTGCTATACTTATCTCATTCCATCCACGACTATAAAGCTTCTACTAGCCGCCCTTGGCCATTACTACGCGTTACCTTCTTTTTCTAGAGTGTATGCGAAAACAGGTGTGCATATAGCATTCAAAACCGCCTATTCACACGCATTTCCGGAGTCTCGACCAGAGGTATCATGTTTTGCTTAGAGGCTGACATTACCGGTTCCGTGACAGAACACCCAACTCCCCAAGAGCTCGACGCGCAGCCAAGAAAGAAACACAACATGAACGATTCTTCAATATTGGATGTAGGTAGATACTTACTTCCATCGACCTGAATTGTTGATGAGTAGCCACAGCCGTGCCTTAGC